CGGCACATACATGAACTGTTTATGTGTGGAAACATAGTGCTTAACGTAGTGCTTAACAGGTCAGGAGCAAGGTTATGAAGGACCATGAAGGTGAGCAGAAGACGTTTTGTATATTATCTGGAATTTCACAGGGAACCAGTGAAGTTCCTGAAGAACAGAGGTGATTCGGTAATAATGTAAGCAACAGAGTTTTGAACAAGTTTAAGCTTATGGAGGGATTTTGGGGGGAAAACCATGCAAGAGAAAATTACAACAGTCAATGCAGTAGGTAACGGGACTATGAACAAGAATGGACGTAGACTGAGGGGAAAGAGAAGGACGTAATTGGGGGAGAAAAGGACGTAATCGGGAGGGGGGGGGGGGGGGGCGCAGAATAGCACGGGAAGGAGCGCAATCACACAAAAACCACACAGTCGCTAAAAGGTCCGCAAAATCCTCTTAGCCTTTACGTTGCTACCAGCCTGTTGCTCGAGCCGCCGTACCGCGACGCTCGCACCGGGGGGGCTGGCGCGTCAGACATGGCCGTTTTGATCCCATGGCTATTCAGCCGTAACGCTCCTCACCTGCGGCACCCAGAACCTGAAAGACAAGACAGGAAGAAGAAAAGAAACAGCATTCCCCCGCAGGGTGGGTGGATGTCAGAAATGTTAGCCCATTAATTCCCTGCAGTTCTTTTTTAATTGAACACTAATTTGTTCAGCACTTTCTTGTCTTTTATACAAAGTACCAGCACAATTAGACCTACTACACAAAAACTGCTGCTACAATTAAAATGGATAGCTATAAGTGCTGATAGATGATAGATAAAGGTGACAGCTCTTATTTGCTACTTGTTTAAAAGAATCATAAATTAGTTGAAATGATTTTCAGTTGAATTGAGAAGAAGAGCAGGAACATCTGGCCCAGCAAGGTGACAAATGCTCTGTTGCCACCTGCTGGTAAGTTTTTCATTCTTTTAATGTTATTCCACAGTGATTCTTGAAGAAAACAATTACAAAATATATTGCCTAAATGAAAAATTTTACTTTCATGTAAGTCTCTCTGCTTTGTAAAAATATTAGATTATGAAAATAAAAAAATATGCATTTGTTAATCTGTCAGTTAAACCAGTAAATTATTAATAAATAAAGACCACCGCTGCTTCTGTTTCTTGTTTTTTGTTTTCTTTCTATGCAGAATCTAAATGCATTTTTACACTACATTAAAAAAAGTAATTATAAAGATGACCTAACACTCTGCAATTACATTGTGTTTGTCATTGTACAATTGTCCTGTATTCGTAAATGCCACCATACCATATGTAAAGCGCTTTGGGGTCCTTAGGGACTAGTAAAGCGCTATATAAATACAGGCCATTT